GATCACATCCTACAACTCTTTTTTTTTTTCAGATAAGGGGTAGGTTTATTCAGTAGACCTGCTGGGACCAGGCAAGGTTGGCACTCCACACGGCTGGCACCAGGCCATCTTGGTCCTCCACGTGGTGGGGAAAGGCCTGGGAAAGAGAGCTGGGAGAGCTGGGAAAGAGAGAGAGCTGGGAAAGAGAAGAGAAGGAAAGAGCTGAGAAAGAGCTAGAAAAGAGCAGAGAGAGACAGCTAGAAAAGAGAAGGGAGCTGGGAAAGAGCTGAGAAAGAGCTAGAAAAGAGCAGAGAACATCATCCTACAACTCTTATTGCTAGTTCCTTCACCTCTGCTCTTATCTCATATGGTAAAGGAACAGAAATCTTTTTGCTTAATAATAAAAGACATAACAATGTTGGAAATGGGGTTTGAGTATAAATTTCGTAGGTCCTGGTTCTACCATTTTCCCAAGTATTCAACTTGGCCAATATTCTTAATTGGTAGCCTCAGTTTCATCACTGGGAAATAATAATAGTTCAGGTTGGTGAAGTGAGGAGATGGAAAATATTTAATAATAAATATCAGCTCCAATTGTTGTTTTAGCTGACTCTTCCTTAGCCTTTATCACTAAAGGTTCTGAAAGGTAAAGTAGGTATTTTCCATGGATATATAGCTGCCAACAATATTGATCTGGATAATAAAACACTTGTCAGTATTTCTTACAATAAGATAAAAATATGCCTATTTTTCCTGTAGTGTTCAGGTCATCCAAAGTCAGCCTCAGATGGAATTAGAGGAGGTTTTATTTCTTTGTCTTCTCAACTTTTTCTTTTCCAATATTTTCCATACCTCTGTCTCTTTCCCTCATGTCCAGTGGTTCTTGTAAGAAAGACAGCAAAGCCCAAAGTCTCTTGTGGAGATTCAGGAGACCAGTGGACCATCTGCCTGGGATTCAAGTGCATGAACAGGCTGAAAGCTGACTTTTAACATTATCACACAACTTTTTATGCACACATTATGTAGATTGATTCAACTAAAAACACTCATGCTTTTTAATCTTCAGTTTTATAATTGGACCACTCCTATCATAGAAAACCAGGATTAACCATTAAAAAACAAAACAAAACACATGATTAATTATTTCATGACCAGCACATTACATTGTATTTTTTGGGGGGGAGGTCCGGTCGTGGGGCCTGTACTCTGGGCCTGGGCACCATCCCTCAGCTCTTCAGCTCAAGGCTAGCGCTTTACCACTTGAGCTACAGTGCCACTTCCAGCCTTTTTTTTTCTTTTTGCTTATGTGGTGCTGAGGAATCGAACCCAGGGCCTCAGGCATGCAAGCACGCGCTGTACCACTGAGCCACCTTCCCAGCCCCAACATTGTATTTTATATTCATGTATGATTTGAAATTCTATCAATAATAAGTTCATATTTTAAATTAATTTTTAAGATGTTTTTTGAATCCAACTACTAAAAATTCTGTGCATCCATCTTTATGTATCTTTTAGGGTATTTCTTCCTCCTTGTTTATGTTGAGCATCAAATCCAGGACTTCAGCCATAGCTAAGCTTCTCTTCTTAATGTATTTGGAATGTAATATATATAAAAAAAAAAAAACAGGAGTGAGGCATCCACAAGGCAAAACAGTTCCTTGTAGGTAGTAAGCATCCTTTATAATTCTTCTTCAATGTGTGTGAGGGGCTGTTTAGTCTGTCCTCTTTCTTGAAACAGGTAAAGGTAAAGAAGGAAAGGGAGGAAAAACAGGTGTGAAGGGCTCAACCCCTTGATCCATAATATCTAAAATGGCAGTAATCATGTCACCCATTTCCCAAGTTACTATAAACATTACATGTGCCAATACTCTGGGAAGAACTTAAAAGAGTGAGAAGTCCGATCCTGAAAGGCAGCATGCTGCTGAGAACATTTTTATTCTGTGAACTCTGTTTCTGGACAATGGTGGACTAAGTGTGAAAAATTGTGAGTAAGCTTTAGAAACTGTTACAGAAAGTTGACAAAGTAATTTCATGTCTCAATCAAATAATAAGAGATTTAGGCTTTTATTTTGGATGACTGATATTTATTTCATTTTTCAGTAATATATTTTCATTGCATTTTACATAAGAAAAGAAATATCTGTCCTTTACCATACATAGTTTGTGAAGCATTGATATTACTTTTGCATTTTGCTTAAGAATCAGAATTTTCTAATTATTAACTAGTGAAAAGATATTATTTGAGAAATGCTTTCATACCGAGTATAAGAAGTCAATGTACTAACAAGTTCCAGACTAAGTTTGAGGTTGAATAACGGTTGTTCGGTGATCAGAAATCGCTTTCTCCATGGAACAACATGCAACCAGATTGCACTCTTAGTGTTGCCTATAAATACCGCTTTCCTAGAAAGATAGATAAAATACCACATACGTTTTAACAACTTATTGATATAACCTTATAATGGGGAAGATAGGATTCTGATTTGCAAATTAGAAAATCTCTCTCTTGTGAGGAGTGATGATTTCTAGTGTGAGTGTAGTGGTAGAGATAGGTTAACAATGGAGGATCCTTACAGCAGACATTGCAATGGCAACATGAGAAAGATTACGGAGGTACATGCTGCTCATATAGTGTAATGAAAGAATGCCTTGGACAAGTTAATAGAAGTAGAACAAATTCAACGAGATTCACTAAGACTTGAATGAGTTAAGTTTGACTAGACTCAAAAGCTCTGTTTCTTCATAGTAATTCCATTCTTTATGGTTAATTCTAGAACATGGATTCCATTGACATTCCAGCACTGAGACAGCAAACAGGATTCATACTGAAGAAATCTGGCCAAGAACAACTCAAGACTAATCTCCCTGTTATTGTTTGAAAAAGACTAAGGACAAGTCTGGGCTTGTTGAGAAATACTGCCATGATCCATTTAATGATGCCAGCTGTGAAAAAAAAATGATGCCAGCTGTGGCAAGGGAAAGGGGAAGCTGGGACAAGGGCAGGTTTGTTGCTCTCTTGAGTCCAGCCTAAAAGATGTTGACTGCTGACCTCCAGCCCTTTCTTTTCAGGTGGTGCCAGGCTGAATTATAAGTACAACTAAAAAGAAAACAAATCAAAACAAACCAACAAAACTAACTGGAAATAGTAAAAGGGAAAAAGACATTAAGAATAGCACATAACCAGGTTATCTTCTTTATAATCTATGATTTCTTCATTTTGTGATGTGTGGGAAAGTGCTATACCTTGGCTCTTGATCTACAGCCCGTGGCACACTAGTTTTATGCACTTCTTACTAACCAGAAATTCTTGGAATGGGTCTCTCAGACTTAAGCCAGAAGACTGGGTAGTAGTAGCAGGCCCCTGTTTTGACCCATCCTTCTAAATTCAGGTTGGATTTATGAGGCTCTTCTCTTCCCAAGTGAGTAATATAATCAATGAAGAGGTCCTATTCCTATCTATATAGTCACAGTCTTACCCCATGTAGATTTCTCAAACTAAGTGGCCTATTAATAGTTGAGAAAGGTATGAGAGTGTGGCTCAGTGGTAGAGCACTTGTCTGCATGCACAAAGCCCTGGGCTCCATCCTTGGCATTGCAAATAAAGGAAAAAAGAAATAGGTGGATTGATTATTTTACAGGAGGGAAAAAAAGAAACCAAATAAAATTTAACATTTTCTTCCATTACAAAAGTGGGGGGCAGGCACAGAAGCATTAGCAGTGTTTAGAACTTTGTTACTAAAGGAAGTAATAGGTTCATTGTTTCATTAAATTTGTTACAGGATCTTGAGATAACATCTACATTCATCATCTGAAAGAATATTGCTAGATCTTGTTATGTCATGTGTTAAATAATATGACATACATAACTATATACTATGGTAAGACTTGTTTTTTGAAAATACTTTGACAAGTACATTTACATTGCATTTCACTGTAATTGGTTTCCTTTGCAATCGTGTGTATCTTATTTTATACATAAGGATTTTTTTTTCAGAGAAAGTAGGATCACCACAGCCTGAAGAAGGTGTCACACAGAAAATGACAATAGCTTCCTGGCCTTCTATTCTACAACTATTCAGCTGTCCATCTGCCATCTGGTATAATCAAGCATCCCTTAGGACTGAATCAAAGATAGATAGAAGCAAAGTGGAGTTTTTTTTTTTTTCTTCTTGGTGAGGGCAGATGAGAAACTTCTTTCTGCTTCTATTTAATAATTATTGATTAAAAATTGGTGTTTGGTCTGTCCCAGTAGAATATACCTGTGATCCTAGCACTTAGAAGGCTGAGTTAGGAAGGTCTTAATTTTCAGGTTAGTCTGGGCATTCATGTGCCGTACATACACACACACATACATAGGAAGAAAAGAGAGAGAAAATATTGTCATTTATTTAAAATTGGCTAGACTTGACTCCTGTGTATGAACAGGAGTGACAAACACTGGAAACATTGGTGGTTAATTTCAGATGAACTCATTGTAACTACAATCTTAATAAACTAACATTTCTTTTCATACTTTTGTCTTTAGTTCTTCATGTTATTACTATTTTTTAAACAAAAATAAAAAGAAAGGAAAAAGAAATTTATTTTTATTCCCGTCAGTTCCCTTTCAGAAAAAGAAAATGTGTAACTTTTTAGGTTTCTATTCTGTCTGAGGTTTTACATCCTGCTATGAAAAGTAGTGACTCCAAGCTGAAATATTTACGAGACCTGTTCTAGTCCCATTTTCCCCAGGACAAAAATAAAGAACCTTGGAAACATGTCTTGGAAGTTACTTGTGGACGTCTTTGAGGACTAGGAAAATGAGACAGGCCCGGGAGCTTTTCCAGAGTTTTGTGGAGTTTGTCTGGGAAAAGAAGAAACGCAAAGCTTCCTGCACAGGACCTAAGAGGGAGCGGGGAGCGCAGAGTTCCCTCCGGGCCAGGGGAGGTGAAGCTCAGCGCGGGGGCAGGACTAGCACCCTGACCAGGGTGGAGCTTCAGGCCCGACCCCGCCCATCCGGAGGGCGGAGAGGGGTGCGCCACGGCCCGCGTGAAGGGTGGGGACAGAGGCCGGGCCCACGGCGCGGCCACACCGGACCGCAGCGGGAGTTTGGGCGCCCTGCACCCGAGCCATGGGGCGGCTAGTGACTATGAGCTTGCTAGGAATAGCTGTGGCGCTGCTGGGGGAGAGGCTGGTGGCGCTCAGGTAAGTGGGACTCCCAGGCTCCCCCCTCCCTTCCCCAGGGTCCCCAAGCTAGGGGTGCGGAAGTGGACACAGACCAGGCCAGTGGTGGGACTCTGGAGTGCTGGGGGACTGTGGGTGCGAGGAAGGATCTTCTGATTGCCCCCTGTGGTTGTCCAGCTTCTTAAGCTCACCCCTCTCCCACCGTGTAAACAACAAAAGTTTATGCGCTTTGGCTTTTTAAGAAGTTCTTTGGGTTAGGTTCACAAGGGAATGTTTTTGCTCAGACCTCAGGGCAAACCTGATGCGCTAACTTGGAAACAAAGCTAGTTACTCAGGCATTGAAACTTGAATTATAAAGATTCATTTCAGGTCACTGGCGCTGCCGCTCTGCTTTTCATACAAGTGCCCCCATTCTTCCCGTGCAAGGTCACAGAAACTCTGCTCACTCATCTTTGTCTTAGTGCTGGAGATCAAAGAAAGTGGTGAGAGCCAGCTTCTGTTCTTACATCACTTCCTCAAGATCTGTTCACTCGGGTCTTCCTGAAGCAAGCAGGAAGCCAAACGCCAGCATTAGCACATCTCAGACTCTAGTTGGGATGAAACGTACCGGTTAGGCGTGGTGGTTCCTCCATTCCCAGTTGAGATGGGATACAGGTTATGCAAAAGAGTTCCAGAAATAATGAGGACAGTGGGATGTGTCATGGGATCTCCTAGATTCCTCCTACAACCTCCTGGCGGTCACTCTACTCCGGGAGAAGAGAGAAGAAAAGTAAATATGCAAACAAGTATGTCCAAGACAGACATAATTGAAACCAATGGGCTTAGCAAGGAAAGATTACATGCTCCGAAGAAGTTCTGGGCAGGAAAGACATTTGACGCTGGCATTCATACATGAGGATAACAAATAGGACGGTGAGGGAACCACCACCCCAAATGGAAAATGCAGCCTAAGTCAAGAGGCTGAATGGGAAAGGTGGAACGGGGGCAGAGGGACCAGTTTCAGGAGAACATGAAGTCAAGGGATGAAAACAGCAGGGTGAGAAATGGGCAGGTTTTGAGGTTTTTCCACACAAGTTGGAAACATGGGCCCCGTTTTGATTGGCTAAAGGGGAGTGCTGGTGTTTTTCATTTGCTGTTCAGGTACTGAACAGCATTATAGAAATGAACCTGTACCCTGGGGCCTCCTGGAAGACTGGGGTCAGAGTGCACCCACAGAGAATCTTAGTCAGTGATGGCCTTTAAAAAAATATATATAACAATTTTATTTTATTCAAGTAATGGGATTGTTGGTACAGATTAAGTAGCTCTATTTTATTTATTTATTTTTATTTATTTATTTATTTTTAGTGCCAGTCCTAGGGCTTGAACTCAGAGACTGGGCACTGTCCCTGGGCTTTTTTTTTTTTTTTTTTTTTGCTCAAGACTAGTGATCTACCACTTTGTAGTCACAGCTACGTCATTGTCTTTCTGGTGGTTAGTTTTAGATAAGAGTTTCGTGGATTTTCCTTCCCTGGGACTGTCTTTGAAGGACAATCCTCAGGTCTCAGCCTCCTGAGCAGCTAGAATTACGGGAGTGAGCCACTGGCATCTGGCTTTCTACTTTAATGTTTGAAGAAATCTTCATATTGTTTTCACTATGGCTGCAGGAATTGACACATTCCTCTCAACAATAAATAAAGATTCCCTTTCCAGATTGGATGTGTAGCTCAGGGGTACAGTTCTTGTCCAATAAATGGGGCTGTGAATTCAATCCTGAGTACAAAAAACAATAAGTTTCCTTGCCTCCAAAAACTCACCCATGCATTTTAGCTTTTGCCTTTTTCATATGTGTTCTTCTACTAGTGTGAGGTGGTATCTCTTTGAAGGCTTGATTTACATTTTCCTACTGATTTGTGATTTTTTTCATTCATATGTTGGCCATTTGTATTTATTTATTATTATTAGCATACATTGGTTTTACAGATGGTGGGGGATTTCATTGTGACATTTCCAGCTATGTTTACAATATATGCTTCTATTCCAATCAATGTCACCCCCTTATCACTCTCCTTCCCTGGAACAATTATAGGAGCTATCATTCTGTTTTCATGTATACACTTAACTTTGACCATATTTATCCTCTTTTATTGTCTTCCTTGTTAGCTCAAACCTCTTCCATCAGCTCCCTAACAGACAGAACCTGTTTCTCTTTCCCCATTACTCTCCAGCTACCTATTGATCTACAGCTTTTACTGAGGTGTTTTTGTTTTGTGCTGGTGCTGACACTTGAGCTTTCATGCCCAAGGCTAACTCTATACCACCTAAGCCACAGCTGCACTTCTGGCTTAAAAATGTGTGTGTGTGTGTGTGTGTGTGTGTGTGTGTATGTGTGTGTGTATGTGTGTGATTACTTGGAGATAGGAAGGAGTCTCACAGACTTTTCTCCAGACTGGCTTTGAACAATGAACCTCAAATCTCGACCTACTTGAATAGCTAGCATTACATAGGTGAGTCACCATCTGTTCTCATTGTGTGTGTGTGTGTGTGTGTGTGTGTATGTGTGTGTGTGCTGTGCTAGTACTGGGGTGTGAACTCAGAACCTCTTATTCTTGCTTCTTTTTGCTCGAGGCTGTCACACCATTACTTCTGTCTTCTAAGTGTCTCCAAACCTTTTCTGCCCAAGGCTGGCTTTGAACTTTGATCCTCAACCTGAGGATACTCTCCTTAGTAGCTAGGATTACAGGTATGAGCCAGCAGCACCTGGCTGGAAATTGTTGTTTTAATTCAAATTTTAATTTTAATTCAGATTTAGTTGGCTGGTACCCTGCTTTGGATCATGAAGAATGTCTATTGTCTGAAGAGTGTGGAGATCTTCAAATAGAGGATTTCTCCCTTTAGACCCTGAGAGTATTTCAAAAGCAGCATGTTCCCTGCTCCACAGAGGAAGGCCAAAGGACAGAGGCTTCTCGTTGATCTTTTTGCTCTAATCTGGTGTCTACTATCTAATTCTTCAATTACTAGAGAAGGGACTGTGGCAGTGAAGCTTTTTTGCATTCCCAGGAGGCCTACTTAAACTTCAACTTGAATTTCGGATACAAAATGGGTAATTATCAGCCTAAGTGTGTCCCAGATAAATAAAAGCAACTGGAGTTGTCTTCTTTCCTTCTGAACTGTAACCAGTTCAGGTTTTTAGTGGAGGATGTGTTCAAAACCCACCTTCTTCTCCTCTCCCAACTCGGGCAATAAAGGTGAAAGCAGAAGGAAGCCAGTATTCTTAGACTAGCTGTTTCCTATAACAAGATCCCCAGCTTCGGATGAATCATGAGATATGAGTGCATCTGAGACCTAGGAGTGACAGGAACTCCAATAAGTGTCTGAACATTTTGTATGATGCCTAATACTTTTTATGACAGCTCTAAGAGACCTGACAGTCTCTTTTGAAACACTTACAAAGGGGAAGCTTTTTCTTTTATTTCCTTTAACCATCCATCCTTCTTATCATATATTGTGTGTTGGTCACTAATTCACTCAATGGTGTAAAGTTCTTCTTTATATTAGACCAAAATGTTTACTTATTTTTAAAAATGCCTTTGCACTTTATGACTTCATTCATTTTTCTGTTTACATATAAATACTGAGGTTTGGAGAATTTGATTCAATGTACTCCAAGCCAGGTCTTCTGACTCCACATGCAATTAGTCCCATCTCCATCCAGTCCCCAAGCTTTTCTACCATTGAGCAAACATGCAAACTTTCCCTAGGTTTAGAGTCTTTAGCACAAAGCGTCACAGGGGCCCAAGGGCTGAATTCCAAAGGGTTTTAAAGTCTTTATAAAAGATAAAGCCTGTTTGTATGTGCCTTGCACAGAGTTAAAACCCCTTCCATGTTTGTAAGTGTCAAAGGTGGTGAGATATGGCCCAAAACAAGGGCTGATAGTCACCCTGTTCCTACTTTATTGGTAATGTATTGGCAGTGTTGCATAGCATGATTATCTGATACCCCTAGAAAGCAAACTGATAACTACCAGCCCCTTGTCTGGTTTCACTCTGGGATGACTAATGCTGTTTCTAGAATGAAAGAAATAGGCAATTGATTTCATAGTAATGACTGTTGGTTACGAGCACACACTTTCTGACTGGATAGCTTAAATTCTTCTTTTTTTGTCTATTGTCTGTTGTGGGGCTTGAACTCAGGGCCTGGGCACTGTCCATGAGCTTTTTCACTCAAGGCTGTATCACTTTGTGCCACAGTACCATTTCCAGTTTTCTGGTGGTTAATTGGACATAAGCATCTCACAGACATTCCTACGTGGGCTGGCTTTGAACCTTGCTCCTTAGATCTCAGACTTCTGAGTAGCTAGGAGTACAGGCGCGAGCCACCAATATCTAGCTTCAAGCAAGGTTTCTTAATTGTGTCACAGATGCCTTAGCAGTCTGGTGTAGTAGTCTTGCTTCTTTTGCAGGCTCTTTACTATTCTTTTTCTCCTTTTAATGTGCTAGGGAATGAACCCAGGACCTCATTCATGCTAGGTAAAAAACTCTACTACTGAGCTAAATATAGGTTACAAAAGAAACCAATTATACCTAAATACCATTAGCAAACTATTTAAACATATAATTTATGATGTAAAAATACAAGCTTCATTTTTAGAGCCTTAAATAGATCTAGAGGTACACCCATGTCTTACAGTAGACATTTTGAAGTACTAAAGAGTTTAAATGATATCCACAACAACTGAAATGTATGAATATCTAATTTAATTAGTGATAGAGTTGCAGATATGTTAATACTATTCACTGTTTTCTTGTCCACATACATCATCAATGGAAACAATTTCAGTTACAAGGTTAACTGAAGATTGACTTTTCTCCATCATAGATCCTTGAATTTTACCCATGGATTCCATAAAGGTCACTGGACTCTAGTTTAAGAGCCTGCATGCACTTTCCTGGTAGAATCATCTGGGAACTGATTGCTGGCTCCGTTTAAGGAAGCCATGGACTCTCAGACCTTATATCCTGCAAAGGACATAAAGTATTAGGGACAAACAGACGGTAACAAAAGGGAAAAGATTTTCTTTCTCTTTTAACATCGCATATTTGTGTGTATACCATTTACCTTAATATTTTTTGCAGGAATATAAGCTTTTGATCTGCTATTCCAAAGAGTTGCCTACAGTTTTCTTCGTTTCCCAAACTTCTTAAATCTGATGTTAGGAATGCTTTCATCTGCAAGTAATGTATATCAAATTAATGGTAGTTTATACAAATAGCGGTTCATTCTTCATACATGATTTTTTTTTTAAAAAAATCTGTAGATGAGCCGGTCTAGAGTTCATTTGGAGTCAGTGATCACGACAAAGTTCAAGGTCATGCTTTGACATTGCAGTTTTAACTTTACAGTCTTATTCTTATTAAGGATTCAGAATAGATGTTTTCATCTCTAGCTCTGAATGGTGTTCATATTATGAGGGGGGAAAAAGGATGATGGTCTCAACCCAGCTCTCTTCTTATGTCTGATCTTTCTATTGAGTAGAAGTATCTTTCTTATAAATACACCTAAATAAAAGAGAGGCCAGGACGGCACATGGTTAGCTGGTCTTCTGAAATGGAAAGAGTAAAGGACAAGGGAGGTTAGGTTTAGTTTGGTTCACTTACAGGGCCTACCACCCTAGAATCTAGAATTCTACTAGCAAGAATGGAACTGATAGTTCTGCCAGAGAAAAGTCTAGCATGTTTTTTTAAAAAATATTTTTATTGAGATTAAGTGATTACATAAATTTCACAAATTTTACAGTATTGTGAGATAGTGATACTTAGTTAAAATCACAAACATTTTAACCTTCACAAGGCAAATTATCGTGGTCTATAATGTTTGCGGATTCTATGAGCTATGACAATACAGCTTTTCTTCCACATCAGATGATATGTACATTTCTTTCCTCTTGCTTAGTGTAAGCTGTTCCTTCTTTCCCTCTCATTCCCTCCCTTCTATTGCTGCCCTTGAGTTGCTTAGTTCGTTTTCATCAATATCCAGTGTAGCTGAGGGACCCCTCTGTTGTGTATTTTCCCCTGTTTCCCTCTGATTCTGTGCCCTCCTACTAGCTTCCATATATATGCATATATATGTGCTTCCATATATATGCATATATATGTATGTATACACACACACACACACACACATACACAAATACCATATATGTGGTCAAGAACGTGGAGTCATTTAGAAATGATAAGACAAATTGAGTGGTGATCCTTTGTTTCTTGAGTCCTGTTTACTTTGTCATATCTCCTTTCTAGCAAGTTTTTATAAATAGAATTTGGAAGTCTTGATGGGCTGCAAAGATTGAAACAGAAAGAAAGCCACAGGAAAAATTAGATTAACTCCAATTCATATACATTCTTCGATTTTGGTAGCACAGAGTCTGCATATCTATTTGAACTTTCTTTTTTTTTTTTTTGTCAGTCGTGGGGCTTGAACTCTGGGCCTGGGCGCTGTCCCTCAGCTCTTTAGCTCAAGGCGAGCCCTCTACCACTTGAGCTACAGCGCCACTTCCGGTTTTCTGGTGGTTTATTGGAGATAGGAGTCTCACGGTCTTTCCTGCCCGGGCTGGCTTTGAACTGCGATCCTCAGATCTCAGCTTCCTGAGTAGCTAGGATTACAGGCGTGAGCCACCAGTGCCCGGCATGAGTCTGCATATCTAAAGATGATATCAAATATTGATATTATCCTTTTGAACAAAGTATATAAATCAACCATGTATACAAACCTATGCAGACTGGATAAACAAACACTATACATTAAGCTGTTTAATTACACCTTAATTTTGTTATTTTGAGGAGGTTGTATTTAATCATTTAGCTTATCTATTTGATCATATAGTTTATTTTTGAAAATCATTTCTATTTTTGTAAAGTACAATAGGCATAACAAGTAAGTTTATAAAATTGACACACAAGCGCAATACCAAATGTATAAATCATATCTGTGAACCACTTACGTGCACCTATATTTGTTCAGGACCCTTGCAACACTAGTAGAAACTTGAAAGTTTTCTAGATTTAGCCTTTATATTTCTATAAAGAAGAGTGTGAGTCACTGAGCAGCTAAAGGTCATGGCAGATATTACTGCTCAGGCAAGAATACAGATCTCTTCATTCCTGAGAAAATTTGGAGTCATTAGAGCAGAGCTGCCTTTTAGTGTGGCTGGCACCAGCATTTTATTACTGAACTGATCCTTGGAGAAAGTTGTCTTTGCCTCTCTGAGTTGATTCCATTATCTTTAAGATAGAGTGAATAGTACCTATTCTTAGACTGGAGTAAAGAATTGGATAAATTCATTGAGATAAACCATTTAGAGTGGTGGTAAACTAGCTGTTTTCATTGATTTCCTTTGACCACCCATGATTATCATCAACAACATCTTCATCATTACTACTAATGTTACTGCTGTTACTACTACATACCATACACACACATACATACCACTACATACCACACACACACACACAAACACAATGTATGTGTACCATATAAAGAGATATCAATTTCTTGATAGATATTTATCCATATATACATATATATTAGTCCTATATATGAAATTTATTGTATTTTTATTGTTTTATTTTCTAATATTGATGTAATACATTTTATTTTTTTTGCATTTACACATTTATATTTTGTCAATTTGTTTTATTGCTATACTTCAAGCAATGTAATAATATTTGGGTATATGATTCCAAAGATGTACTGATTAACATCTATTTAGAAAACATGATGCAAAATTCAAAATGTATATAGTGCTAAAACATCTTGGTAGTTCTGCACTATCTAGGCAAAGCCTGTCTGCCTACCTGCCTGTTTTCTTTCCTTCCCTTCCTCCCTCCCTCCTTTCCTCTCTCTTTCCCTTCCTCCCTCCCTCCTCCCTCCCTTCCTTCTTTCCTTCCTTTCTTCCTTCCTTCCTTCCTTCCTTCCTTTCCTATTAATTCAGTGGCCTTTTCCATATCCAGTGTCTGGAAGTCAGTGGCTATGTGGCATTTGGAAAGGGATACACAGCCAATTAATATTTGGTCTATTAAATGTATGGTATATGGAAACTACTGTGGAAAATGTAAAACTCCCTGCAACACCATTGTTATTTTTATGATGCTAGAGAAAACAGAGAAGGTAAGAACATGAAAGGAGAGAAAACCTGTAGCATGTGGCCTTTTGAATAGAATTATCCACATGTTTTCAGTTTAAAATAAATAAATTTTTTTTCAAAAAAGAATTATCCACATGGGCTGAACCAGACTGCCTTCCTGCTCTCTAGTATGGAAAGGAAGCGGAAAGTATCCAATTAGAGCTCAGTATTCTTTTGCTATTTCTACTGTTTTTTCTTTTTGTAAAATGAGTAATTTTGCTAAAATAGTTGCTGTTCTCCAATTTTTCAAACTCAATAAATACTGTCACAGGCATTGGGATTTCTGATATTGCTAAGTAACTATTTGTGGTATCTGCTATGTGCCAAGCCCTGAGAAATGCCGTTTTCTTTTGGCCTTGCTTCGTTGATGGTATAAGAATCATCATCATTTTCATTGTTTGGCTCTTAAGCAGGAAGACAGAGCTTTTGGCTTTTGAGTGTGAGAAATATGACATGGTGCTCTGATTACACACACACACACACACGCATGCACACACGCACACACACACATGTTTTAATTTTTGTCAGTCATGGGGCTAGAACTTGGGGGCCTGAGCTCTTTTGCTCAAGGCTAGTGACTCTACCATTGTGAGCCACAGTGCCACTTCCAGTTTTCTGGTAGTTAATTGGAGATAAGAGTCTCTTACTGAGTTTCCTGCCCAGGCTGGTTCTGTACTGTGATCCTCAGATCTCAGCTTCCTGAGTAGCTAGGATTACATGTGTGAGTCACCAGTGCCCAGTATTCTGATTATAATTGCATAGGATCTTGGATGCAAGTTTAATTGGTTGAGTTCTTCTCTTTCTCTCTAACTCCTATCCACATATAGAACTCAGAACTCTGTATTTTGGTTTTCACTTCATTTCTAGTGCTCTTTTATGTTCCTGTACTTGGTTTCCGACTTTCTGTTTCATCTACTGTATATTGATGCTGCTTTATGATTTACTGCCATATGCTTATTTAAACTTTTTCTTTTTCTTTTTTGGGTCTGGTCATGGGGCCTGAACTCTGGGCCTGGGCGCTATCCCTCAGCTCTTCAGCTCAAGGCTAGCGCTCTACCGCTTGAGCCACAGCGCCACTTCTGGCTTTTTTCTTTTTGCTTATGTGGTGCTGGGAAATCGAACCCAGGGCCTCAGGCATGCAAGGCAAGCGCTCTACCACTGAGCCACCTTCCCAGCCCTATTTAAACTTTTTCTAAATTAAAGCAAGGAATATATAAACAAATAGTGTTTTTGTTTTCTTAACAGAAATCGACTTAAAGCCTCCAGAGAAGTGGAATCCATAGACCTTCCAAACTGCCACCTGATTAAAGGAATTGGTATGAGTAAGAAAATGAATGACATCATTTGTCCACCAACATTTACAACATCCACTAACAGTATTTTTGCATGTAGTTACTGTTTTCCAGCAAATAAGCCTCATTAGAGCAACAGAAACCTCTTTGATCCATCACCTCCCCCCTCCTTTTTTTTTTGCCATGCCTGGATCTTGAATTTTGTACTACAGCTCCACTTCAGCTTTTTTGGGGTGACTTATTGGAGATAAGAGTCTCACAGACTTTTCTCACCAGGCTGGCTTTAAATCACAATCCTCTGATCTCAGCCTCCCGAGTCACTAGGATTACAAGCATGTGCCACTGGCACTTGGCACAATCCCTCCTCTTTGAATTTATGCATTTCTATATTTCTTCTTTCTTATGTTCCCTGTCGTTGAATACTTGCACACGTTTGTTTACTGTTTGGATTTATTCTTAAGTGACTTCTCTGAGTTATGTCCATAAAGTCTGTGTTCTTTGGGGATGTCCTCTGACATCGGTGCTCTGTTATCCTAGTGGTTAGCTAGTGATGGGACCTCAGGAGGATGGTAAGCCAGGCCTTAGCAGCACAAGTCTATAATCCTAGCTACTCAGGAGGCTATGAACTGAGAATCACAGTTCAAAGCCAGCTTGGGCAGGAAGGTCATTGAGACTCTTATGTCCAATTAACTTCCCCAAAAAGCTGGAAGCAGAGCTGTAGCTGAAGTGATAGAATACAGGCCTTGAGCAAAAAAATAATAAATCTCAGCATTCAGGGTCTAAGTTCTAGCCCCAGAACTGAAATAATAAAAGGAAGGTAAGGTCCATGTAGACAGGAATAATATTTACTTTGCTCACTACCCTGAGATCAGTATCTGACTTATGCCCAATATACATTTGTCACGTCCTAATGTATACTGAAGGTTGTGACTGCAGAGGAGAGACTAACTAGTGGTATGTCGCTGGTCCTTTGACTCTACAGGATTCACTGTAGCAGTACCTGAGTCTCAGAGGGGCTCCTACGAATAGCCCTGGTTCTGCTACAGATTATGGCTGTCCAATTTTCTCTCCTGGTACAGGGTCTCTCTACCTTCTCTGCAATTTTTTCCCCCAGGGCGAACTTCATATCTTGCTTTTTTCACTTTTTGCTGTCTTCCAAAGTCCTGGGAACATAATAGATTCCCAGTAACTATTGTTAAGTTATCAATGACCAATAAAAAAGTCTTTCTTAGCAATCATTTATACTATGACAAGAACTGAAAAAGTCAAGCACCTAGTTTCTTGTTCTACTTCTACCACATATTTGTGGTATGATCTTTGGCAAAGCTTGGCCTTCATAGTTTTCACTATAATGATCAGTTTGTGAATAGGCTCATATCAAGAATCTTGGAAAACCACAGCGGGAATAACTAGACTCACCTGGGCCACTTTCTATGTTTAAAAGAACCACATCTAGAAGTGAGAGATGGTGCTCTTGTTTTGTTGTTCACCTATTAAAATCTATCTTAGATAGAATCATTTTATTCTTCCTAATAGATGACACTGTTAAATAAAATTTGTGTATGTTTTCATAGCTTTTCTGTCTATTTAGGAATTTTTCACACACAAATTTAAATTGGGTCAAATTATACATAGTATCTCAGAGCCAGTTCTTCATACGTTTATACATTATATACTATGCTTTGGAAACTTATGTCAGTGGAGTTTCCTCTTTCTCTCTCTCTCTCTCTCTCTCTCTCTCTCTCTCTCTCTCTATTCTCTCTCTCACTTTATCTTTTTAAATCAACTGCACAGTCTTTTCTTTCTGTCTTTTTTATTGTAAAGGTGATATACAAAGGGGTTACAATTACACAAGTATGGTAATGAGTACATTTCTTTTTGAACTGTGTCACCCCCTCCCTCATTGTCTCTGAGTTTTTCCCTCCCAATTCCCCATCCCCATATAGTTAATTTCCAACATAGTGTCTAGTGAGTATCACTGCTCAATTTTCACCCCTTGTCTCAGCATTTCTGTGCTTCCCCTTCCTTCCCCAAATCAGATAAACTTAGATAAAAGACAAAGGGTTTTCTTTCTCTTTTAAAAATATTCATTTATTTTCTTTTTTTTTTGGTCTTGGGGCTTGAACTCAGGACCTGAGTACTGTCCCTGAGCTAGCTTAAGGCTAGCTCTCTACCACTTTGAGCCATGGCTTCATTTCCAGCTATTTCCAGTTAATTGGAGATAATAGCCTCATGAACTTTCCTGCCCTGACTGGCTTTGAACCAGCATCCTCAGATCTCAGTCTTTTGAGTAGCTAGAATTACAGGTGTGAGCTACCAGCACCCAACCTCTTGCACAGTGTTTTTCTATGCAAAGCTCATAGAAACATTATATATTCAAACTGTATAGAAAGATCTAAAATGGGAAATAAAAATGTCTTTACAAACTCTGTTCCCTCTCAGAAACAACCCCAGAGATAAAATTTATATCCTGTCCTCCTGGTATTTTCAGTGTATATGCAAACAAATATGCCCACACAAATATGTGCCTTTGTTTTCACAAATGGTACATTCGAGCTGCGATCTGCTTTCTTCCCTTCCCTTCCAACCCAGCTTGAGCACCTGTATACTTGAGCACATATAGACTTACTCCGGGCTCTATATAAATAGTCATGTTCCATGACTATGTAACCAATTCCCCCCCCCCTTTTTTTTTTTGTTGGTCATGGGGCTTGAACTATGGGCTGGGCCTGGGTGCTGTCCCTCAGCTCTTCAGCTCAAGGCTAGTGCTCTACCACTTGAGCCACGGCACCACTTCTGGTTTTCCAGTGGTTTGTTGGAGATAAGAGTCTCGTGGCCTTTCCTGTCCGGGCTGGCTTTGAACTGCAGTCCTCAGATCTCAGCCTCCTGAATAGCTAGGATTACAGGTGTGAGGCACTGATGCCCAGCCCCAATTCCCTTCTTAAGGCACATTTGGTTGCAGGGCTTTTTGTTTCTTCTGAGTCAAAATTATTTGTGATAAATTACATATTTTAACAATTTTATGTATATTTTCACTATTGACAATCATTGCCTTTACCCATCTCTAGAACATTTTTCCATCTTGCAAAATTGCATCTTTATTTTTTAATATATATATTTATTGTAAAGATACTGTACAGAGGGGTTACAGTTCTATGAGCAAGGTAATCAGTCCATTTCCTATGGAGCATTGTTACTCCCTTCTTCGTTTTTCCCCTACCATCCCTTCCTATTAAATAATAGCTACCCATTGTTCCCTCCTGACTAAGAGCAACCACCATTCTCTCTTTATGAATTACATTGCTCTAGAGATCCTTGTTAAGTAGAATCACATAGTGTTTGATTTTTGTGGACTGATTTATTTCACCATGAACGATTTCTTGAAAGTTCACCTGCTGTAGCATGTTTCAGAATTTCCTTCCTTTATTTGGCTGAATACTAATCTGTGTATATACCTATATACATTGTATAAAAGACACTATGTTTTATTTATCAATTTGGGTTACTGTTTTTATCTCCTACGTTCACATTGTCCTTCCTGGATTGAAGAGCATTTCCAAGAGACATCTCATTTTAGTCCTATTTAATTGCCAGAGCGTATCTGCAGACTATCTCAGAAGTCATAAGATGGCCAGACTATTTTCTTTTATTTAGATCACTGATATTTTTTAAATGAAGAAATAGCCAATGTAGATTAAGTTCATCCTCAGAAGTCAAGGGATTCCAGTCTCTTGTGATTTCTGTCAGATTGCCCAGACCTTCTCCAAATAAATTGCAAGGAAATAAAGAGTAAACCCCTTTATACATGCTACCTCAAAAGAGTCTGGCCCTGGTTTCCTATTGCACTGTTTCTAAACCAATGAATGACATTATAGAACTGCCTCAGTCCAAAAAATTATGCCACAAACCTAAATATATTTACATTAACCACATGAATGCTTTTAACAGAAGAAGGAAAGCAAGCTAATTGTGCACCAAACATTCATTAATTTATAATGTACTATGAACAGCATGGTCAACAGTAATGGAATAAAAACTTACCATGATGTTGCTAACTTCTCCCAGTCAGTGGATGTGTGGAGCACTGGATAAAACTTTGCTTGGTGACTATATCAAACATGTAGATCTTAGATACTTTTGCTTTCTTTTTGTTAGAATTCATTGGGAGGGAAGGTTCCTTGTGACAAATGTTCACATGTGTACAAATGTATTCCAATCAACTGACACTCTGGTTTGTCATTCTTTTTTTAAATCTTTAGTTCTTGAAAGATATATGTTTGTACCTATTTATAGGGTTTAATTAGATGATTTAATATATGGATACAATTGTAATGGCTAGAATAGGTGGTTAGCATTTCTATCTCCTCAAAATTTCTGTTGGCTAGGAACCTTCAAACTTTCCCCTTCTAGTTATCTTAGTTATTATAAACTACAGTAACTCAGTGACATAGATTAATGCTATAGAATATCAGAATTACTTCTCCCTTGATTGTATTTTTGTATTTATTATCTACATTTGCCATACCCATTCTCCTGTCCTTCCTGTCTTCTTGTGCTGTGTTCTGCTCTCTACTTCCATATCTTCAAGTCTTTTAGCTTCTACAAGTGAGTTAAGGACATGATCATTGTCTTTCTATTTCTGGTTAACGTCATTAAATATAGAATCTTCCAGTTCCATTATGTTGCTGCCCATGAGAAGATTTCATGAGCTTTGAACTTGTGATCCTCCTGACATAGCCTCCTGTGTACTAGATTTCAGACATCCAGCATCACAACCAGCTCAAGATTTTATCCTTTTTAAGGAGTGAATGATATTTCAATATGACTATAAATGTGTCTTACAAATGTAGAATGCCACATTAAAATAAATCCATTCATCTATTAATGGACATCTTGGTGACTCTGCATCTTTGCCATTGTGTTGCAATGGAGCTGGTCATGCCAGGATCTCCTTTATGTAGTAATTTCATTTATCCAGTAAAATGGTTTACTAGAACATATATAGTTTTATTTTCACTTTTTTC